CCAAACCAGAATGGCGGACATATTCAGGATTGCGCAAGGCGAGTCCGAACTTCTACGAGAATTCGTGATCCGGTTTCATAAAGAGAGGATGTTGTTTTCATTGGTACCAGATGAATGTGAAGTGGAGGCGTTCACAAAGTGTCTGAATCCGTGGAGTTGGCGCCTCCCGAAAGCTGAAGGAAAGCCTGCTCGAGTTTCATGCAACCACATGGGCGGATATCCATAACCGGTATGCGTAAAATATAAGGATAGAAGACGATCAACTCGGATTCTCAGTATCAACAAAGGGACGTGATCGAGACAAGAATTAGGAAAAGTTTAAAATAGACTTTGATGCAGATCAGTGGTCCACTAGAGGTCGCTTTTTCCCGTATAAAAGAACCGAAGGTCGTAAGAGCAAATGGTTTCGATCATTGGATAAGTTTTCTCCTGATAGAAGAACCGATCATGGCCGGAGCAGCAGATCGTTACAGGAGAAGGAAGTTACAGGGGACCGAGACTCTACATATCCCAGGTTATTAGATTACAACTTTAACATCAGCTTAGTAGAGTTGGTATCGGTAATGAGGAATATCAAAGGATCATGGTTCCCGAAGCCAATCAGGTCTGATCCAAGCCAGAGGGATCCCAGTTTATGGTGTTAATACCGTGGGACTCATGGCCATAGAACTGGGGACTGCCGATATCTTCGTGAAGAGGTAGAGACATTGTTAAAGAATGTCCACCTTAGGGAATTTCTAAGCGACCGAGCTAAGAACAACTACGACCGAAGCCGGGACAATGCAGAGCCTTCGCAGGTGATAGAAAGTTCCCCTCGGCTGACTATCAATATAATTTTCGGAGGGAATGAAGTTACCGGTATGACCTTTTCAGCAATAAAGAGAACGAATATATCGGTGACTCACCATAAGAGACTTCGGAAAGTCGTAGAAGATGACATCACTTTCACGGAGGAAGACGCTGACGGACTTCTCTCGCCACACAATGACGCTTTGGTAATCTCTCTCAATGTTTTCGATTTCAAAATTAAACGTGTTTTGGTTGATCTAGGAAGCTCAGCCAATATCATCCAATGAAGAGTGTTGGAGTAAGCAAAGCTGACTGGAAGCATCATTCCAATGACAAAACTCTTAGCTGGATTCAACTCGACAAGTGTGACAACCCAAGGGGAGATTGAAGTAGTTGAAGCAGGAGCAGTGCAGGCTGTTAGTTGCTCGGTAGTCGAAGGCAGAAGAGTCCCGGGGTCTGAACTCATTGGACAAGAAATAACAATGAGGCCCGGTAAGAGAGAATCAACATTCTTTACCAGGTCCATTTCACCCCAAAGTGCTTGGGGTTCTCCTTCGGTCGGGTTTTGAAACTCTCCCGGCTGAGCACTCGGTTGAGCTGATGAAGATCTTTTCCTCCTTTGAAGGGAAGCCTCTTCATCACTAGCATCCCCCTCGTCAACGAGGACCAATGTGGCCGGTTCAGACGACGTTTTCTTTGCCTTTTCTCTTGAGTCCCAGCCGAGGAGGGACATTTTCTCTTCGGTTTCTTGTCCTTGGGATGGAGACTCCGAGAAGAGGCTCCTTCACAGCAAGAAGATCCGCGAGCTCTGCTTCGGGCAGGGACGTTTTGTATCACCCTCCTGGCCTCTTCGAGGTCAACCGAGGTCTCAACTTCAGGGCAGATGATAGAGCCCTTCAAGAGTCCTGTATCGGGCCAAAAGAATAGAGTTAGCAGTTTATTCATAAAATTTTTTGTGTTCGTACAAGGATAAAAGAAAGAAAGAATTTGGTTTACCATAGTTTTTGGCCTTTCACAAGTATTTTGGGGACATCTCCTTCCACCGGTGGGACTCTAGTATAGTGATATCCAGAATTATTTGAATCCACTGGTCTAGGCCTTGAGCCAGTGGTGGTTCCCATCGGGTAGCTGAAACAAAGAAAATGGAAAATCAGTAAAATCGAAAACAATCTTTTCACGAAAGAAGGAAGTAAATAACACAAAACTTATGAAAGTGATTCCTTGACTCAGGAAAAATATGGAGTCGTGGCCGGAATGATGTCCCTGGTAGCAATAATGATGAATCGTTCCATCCACCCGCGGTTGTTGTCTTCATCTACGGTGGAGAGAAGAGCGTGGTGACTAAGCTTGCTAAAATTTATTACCCCCCCCACGGAAAACGTTGGGAGACCAAAAGGTTCATCATGTTTGTAAGGGTTAGGGTTTTCCGGATCTCCATGCACAGTTGGCGAAGGCAGGCCACCGTCCACCATAAAGATGGGCCTACTTGTGCTAAGAAAACTTGATGTCGGTGGAAAAACCTCAAAATTATCGGGTCGAGCCCTTCACTCGACCCCAAAGAGAATGGACCTAAGGTAAAAGGATATGTATAGACATACGTAAACCCCTCCTTGAAAAAGGTAACCCTCTCTATCATATCCAGCGCGGGGATTTCAAGATTGGGGCAGTTGCAGTCCTCTTTCATAGTTGGTATACTGGAAGGGAGAATGGAGGAAGGATACCTACTAACTGCCCAAGTTCGTGAAGATACAGAAGGAGCCTTCTCTAGAAAGTCATTTGCGGTCATAAGACTCTGTGGTATGATAGTGCTAACAGTGGGAGGTTCGAAATCAACTTCGACTTCCTTGTCTTTGCTTTTCTTTGGTCCTCCACCGAAGAGAAGACTAGTGTTTCCGAAGGAATCAGATAAAGAAGCCGTGCTGATGAAAGGTCAGTAAAACTTTTGCTGAGAAAAAGATGAAAAAAATTCCTAAGCAGGTGCAAAGAGAAAGAAAGGCTTTTGAAAGTTATAAAAATGAATAAGTAAAAATGATGAACATTAGAGAAGTTATAGACGGCAAAAATCGTGGTCATAATTACCTCGAAAATCGATGATAATATTTGCTGAATCGTGGGGCAACACGTGTTTGGGGTATTAAATGCTAGAAGACGTGCATCCTTTCAAGTGTCAGAGACTGTTTAGGAACTTTCCAGCCAAGAAAGGAATCTTCACCAACTTTTCGGTAACACAAAAATATGTCACCGGAAAGTAGGGGGACTATTTGTATGGGGTAAAATCGGTTTATAACAAATGGTCGAATGGTAACATGACATATGGAACCGAAGATAGGCAAAGAGCAATTCAGGGAATAACCAATTCCGAATACAACGAATGCAATCGATATCGGATAAATTTCGAAGGGAGCGTAGTCGACAGGAGAAGATCAAAGGTATACCATCGAATAACATTCAATGAGGGAATATTTACTAACATTAAATGAGCGACCGTTGCAGAGAATATTTATATTCATGGTCTGCCGTTATGCATTCATCAATGTCTCTTTTATTATCATTTAAGAGGAGCTTGATCCTAGGATCTTGTTTCTCTAGGTAAAGCTATAAATATCAGGCTCAACAACCATTGTAAGGATACGAAACAGTCTATACAAAAAGGCTATATTCTATTACTTTTGCTCTCAATTAAACAACTTTATTTGTACTTTATTGTTACTTTGATTTTTGTCCTCGGAGGCATTGAATTCGAAGCGAGACTTGTGATCTTCTTCAATTTCAATTATTAATTTTAATTTTAATTTTATTTTCTTATCATTTTTGGATCAAATCAGTTCGCTTGTCTATAAACCATGTAACAAATTTAACTGTACCGTTTTACGGGTAAACAATAAGATCTAAGGGAAAAACAAGGTAGGGACTCCCAATTTTAAAATCATCTATGGGATAAAATAAGAAATTTAAAATTAAATTATTTTTAAATATAAAAAATTAGACATACTAAAAAGAAAAGTACATCAAGACATTAACTTAAATGAGATTAAAAGGTGACATAGATATGGGAATACAGCTTCTTTAAGGTGACTCTTACCAATTTTGGTTTTGTTAGTGATTTTATTTCTCAATTTTGCAAAAGGTTGATGAATATTTCTTCGATCTTTTTCATTGCGTAGCTCGAGCTACCCTCCCCCCTCAAGTTTTTGTTTTCGCTATATGGAGTTCAAATATTTTGGTCCATACTCCATATACTAACATAGTTCTACAATCATAGTGGCGGACTCTGAAATTTGTATTATTATCGCAATTTGCCATGTTTTTAAGGTTTTCCTCCCAATCCCAAGTTGATATTCATTTTTGTATTATTCACAATCAGTATCGGTCCATTGTATATATACGTATTTACTACACAAATATAAAGAAAATTTGCAATAAAGCAGTGCCGATCGAGTGTCTCTTGCACTGGCACCGCATGTGAACGTTAAAAGAAGAAATTGTCTATTTTAATATTTTGTGTTATTGTAAATGTCGTAAAATGATCTGCTTTGATCAATCTTAACTTTTATATGAAGAAAGCATGTCTCATGCTACGTTTTTTCAAATGTAAAACGAACAGCTTTCAATTCAGAATGAGGGAGAAAAAAAACCTCAATTAACAAAATTAATCAAAGAGAAAAGAAAAAGATTCATTCTAGGTGCGCTATAAAAGATTTAAATCAATTATTAAAGATAAAACATATTGATAGTGTTAAACTAACTTAATTAATTTAACAAGTTACTCAGCATATTTTTCAATTATCATTTTATGCTTCCTATAAACAACAATCCATAGTAAGCTTGTAAGTAATATAATAGTGTAAAAAATCTTTTGTTATTTAAAATTAAATTCATTTAGAAAAGCTAAATAGCCAACGAACTACAAATTTAAAGAGAAACAAATCGTTCCCTGTTATGACTGGAAATTGTTTATTTCTTTATTTATTTGTTTGAACCATTAGCTGAGGACTTGAGGTAAAAGAGCTTTCTATTTGTTTATGTTAACCCGTAATTAATACTACTACATCTATCATATTTAGGGTGAAATATTTTAAAATGCTATTTTCCTTTTCTCAATAGAAAGTAAAATGTTTTTTTTTCCACACGGTTAATAAGAAAATTAAAAGAACAAACGTTTAATTGGGAATTGGGACAGTAGATCATTTGCATAGAGCGGGTCGGAAAAATAGAACTGGCGGGTCGGATCTGGAGATTCACTATAAATCCCCAAATTTTGCCGCCATTTCAATAAAATTCAAATAAGAAAGCAGTAGCAGATGAATGTATGATCGAGAGAGAAGCTCAACACGGAAAATACGTGCTAGGGTTCAATTCCGTAGGAAACTTACATTCCGCTGTCAGATTTCGGATTCTTGGAAGGTTTTGTGGAATTTGTACAGCTCTACATAGGTTTCGTACCTCGCGATTAGATTTCGATTTGAATTTCAATTTCAAATGCGTTATTTTCTTGTCTCTGATCTTCAGGTTATTCCTACACTTGATACTCATCGGCGATTTATGAACTCTAAGTTCCGATTTTGCTTGTATTTCAAATTCGTAAGTACGAAGCAAAATGAATTTCGCTGTGTGTGTGTGTGTGTGTGTTTTGTTTTTGGTAATGTTTTGTTGATTACTTATATATTTCTTCTAGGTTCTGGTTTTTGTTTGTTTTCTTCTGTTTATTAAAGAGTATTTCAGATTCTGTAAGTACGAAGTAGAATTCTCTCCCTGTGTTTTTTTTTGGGGTCATATTCTGTTGTTTACGTACATATTTCTTCTAGGTTCTGATGTTTGTTTGTGTTGTTCTAATTATTCAGGAGTATTTCAAATTCCATAACTTCGAAGAAAATAAATGTCGCTGTCTGTGTATTTGTTTTTTTAAAATTATTATTATTATTATGGTAATATTTTGTTGATCATGTATATATTTCTCCGGTGAGTACAGCTGTCCTTTCATTTTCAGGTTTAGGACCGAAAGTATTGTGGATAAGCCAGTTATTGAGCTCGTCTGAAGGTGAAAATTTGTTGCCCAAGCACTTGATATTCTTATTATTTGTTTCGAGGGTTGAAAAATATAGGACTGAGGCATTGAGATCATATTTCCAGCTTGTTTGGTAATGAGATATAGTAGTTGTAGTAGTAGTAGTTGTTGTGGTAAACTGAGCATTTTACACTACCGGTGTAGTTTAGCTGATAGCTGGTTAATATCTTTTACAGTTTGTCAATTTTTATCTATTATATACAGTTACCTATTAGTTGGCTTTAGTTGATTTTAAGTACCGGGTAGTGTAAAATATTTTCTCTGTGTAAAACTTAAACCATTTGTGAAGAATTTGCTGTGCAACTACATTCTGGCTAATACTTCTGTTTACCTGAATTCTTAGTTATCTTGGTTCATGCGTAATCATGATGTTTTTCTTTGTAGAAAGTTGAGTATTCATCACCATGATAAACTCTGATTTTGTCAACGCATAAGCAGCAAGCAATTTCAAGTGATAGTTAGCTAGCTTTTGTATGCCAGTTATCAAAACTAGTTTTGTCATTTTTGTGTTCCCAGTTAGTTTACTTCAGCTATCCAAGTATGAACTTTGATATTTCAACAGTTTATAAGCAGCTAGAGGTTTCAGTTATTGGATATTCTAGCAGCCATTAGGCAGTTTTTCTTTCAAATCAAGAATGTTTGAAATTGGATTAGCCAGCTACAGCTGGCTGTTAAGTGGATTGTCTCTTTCTGTAACTTGAGATGCAAAGGTTGTTCTGCAATGTTTTTGACTTTGCTGTAGCGATAATTTAGTCATTTCTTATTGACTATTCTGTGTCTATATCCATAGAATGCATTGGATCAGAAATGTTATGCTCGGAATTTTGAATGATTCCAGAACTTTGTATAATGTGCTATGAAATTGACAATCATCTTTGAATGTTGAGATGAGATGCAATGCTTGCTGGCGAGAACTGGAAGGACAGGCCATCACCACCACTTGTGGCCACGTCTTCTGTATCCTAGTTTTATATGTATTCCATATAGACATGCATATGTTTTGTGTGTGTTTTAGCCCCCAAGAGAATGTCTTAGCGGTCGAAGAACTAGAGTTACAGTCTTGGGAATCAAGTTCCGAAACCAACAGAGGTGACACTAAGTTAATTCTTTCATTCTTCCAATCTCTTGGGGGCAGAATTATCCGTTACCTATATTAGTGGGAGGTAGCATGTACTGATGGCTTAATCGGTGCATGGAATCTGGCCTGGTACCACCATTATCCAAAAAGAGAAAGAAATTGTGCTTTCCATGTAGACATGTAATTTTTGTGCAGTTTCCTCATGGAAATGATTTTGGTGTACAACTGCTATGATTCCTTAACAATGTTAATAGGCCCGAACGATGCTAGTAAGATTCTCAGCAATGATGCCGCTTGTCCTATCTGTGATCAAGTTCTGTCTAAAAGGTTAGTCCTATCTAATATCACCTTATGGTTGAAGTGTTGTTTTGGTCACCTAAAGACAATGATTTCGCAAAAGGTATATAACTATATCCTAAATTTGCTTCTTCTCTAGCTTCTTGTCCCTTTCTCCTTTTGATTCATTTTTCTAGATCTTTTCTTTCTCCTTCCTTTTTTGTCGGGAGGGGGTGGGGCTTATGACACTTCCAGAACATTGTTTTTGTTTTCCACTGCTAAATTTGGTATAGTAATTGGTTGTCTTTTGCTTTTACTAGCATTATCTAAACACTCAAAGTAATGTGTGGAATTTTGTCGAATTGGCTATCATGTAATTAATTATCTGACGTTTTTGCCTCAGTCTCATGAAACCTGTGGATGTTAATCCAAGTGATGAATGGGCAAATGTAAGCATACATCCATGAAAGGATAGCTCCTTTATCACTTTTTATAGTTCCTGTGACCTAATCATATTTGTTTCTCACACATTTCATCATCAGCATCCTAGTTAAAATTTGTTCACCCTCATGCAGATGGTCATGACTGGAATATCACCACAGATATGTATCCTTCATAGTGCTGTGTTGCAACATCTGTAATATTCAGTTTTACTTTTAAAACATAGTGAAGTTGGGTTAGTTAAATTAACGTACTATTTCCCAAATTGGATTTAGCGTAATAGCACCTTTCAGAAATGGTATTTACATTAGCTTCATTATTTTCTCCTTAATCAAACCCAGTAATGAAGAGTGCCTACAAAAGTGTGACGTTCTACATTGGGCAAAAAGAATTGGAAATGCAATTCAAGGTGAACAAGTTAGTCGCTCAATACCAACAGAAATGTGAGATGATGCAAGAGAAATTCGCTGAAAAGTTTGAGCAAGTGCGTACTGCATACCAGAAAGTGGCTAAAAAGTGCCAAATGCTGGAACAAGAGATCGAGAGCTTATCTAAAGACAAGCAGGAACTCCAAGAAAAGTTTGCTGAGAAATCCAGGTTCTTCTTACAGTTTTTAACAGAGATTCTATTTGTCCAAGAAAAAAAGAAAAAATTCCGATGGAACTGCAAAAGTGTGCTCAAGTTATCCACTATAATCTATTGACTGAGGAGGTTGCAAAGTGTGCGGTGCTTTACTACTGGAATCCACTATCTTTGGTACATGCTCTCAGAATTAACATAGGTCCATATTGTCAGGCAAAAAAGAAAACTTGATGAAATGTATGATCAGTTGAGAAATGAATATGATTCAGTAAAGCGCTCAGCCATTCAGCCAAGTAATTTCTTTTCAAGGACAGAGCCTGATATGTTCGCAAATCCTGCTAATATGATGGACAACAGAGATCATATGGGAAAAGGTAATCATTTTATTTTTAGAATAATCACATGGCATATGTGAGGTTGGTGCAGTTTGGCAAACTAGATTTGTTCTTCTTAGTGTATGAATACTCATTGACAAAATTCTTTGCATTTAAAAGATGAATTATACTTAGTATTTGAACACTCAATTGTCAAAATACTTCGAATTTTGGATATTTTGCTCTCAAAACTGCACTAACCTTTGAGCAAAGTATTAGTTGACTCATTTGTCGCAGATTGGTCGGTCACTCCTGAAACTCCAGGACCAAGAGAAGACATATGGCCTCCAGCAAGAAAGAATAGTTCCAACTCTGGCCCTTTCGATATCTCGAGTGGATCCCCTGCAAGACAATCAGCAATACCAGTGGATACTGGAAATAGAAGAGCAAGTGCTCGTCCTATGCTTGGTGTTGGAACTGGAACAAGCAATCCCTCACAGACCCTTAGGAATCTCATCCTTTCACCGATTAAGAGACCTCAGCTCTCCCGCAACCGACCACAGATGTTCACGTAAGCCACAATTACATCCAATAAGCTGAGATATCAAAAGCTGAATTCTTAAAAAAATTGGTTTTCCAGGTTTTGAAGTCGGGAGATCTTTCAATTTCAATAATGTGGAGAAATATATACTTGAGATGCAAGAATGGATCAGGTTTCCTGACATTTTACAGTGGGAAACTTTGTTTTGTATGCCAGATATTGGTATGCTTGCTGACTTTCCTTAGTGGCGGAAAAACTAAATATAAAATCATATGGAGTAAGGTTTCATAGTTTACAGACAAGTGGATGATGTGATATGAGTTGCAGTTTAATAGCTGCAACATCTCGTATACTACTTAAGTGTAGGGTTCTAATTCCGCTAGAAGTCTTCTCTTCTTCTATAATCGTTTCTCCCTCCTCACTCGCAAACAATTTGGGCAGGATATTACCAGTCCCATATATAGTACTTCCAGGTGGACTCCTAAAAAACTAATTCCAAATCTTGTTACTTTTTCGTTTCTTCCTAAATGTAGTGTCTAGGGGCTGTTTAAAACCTGTTCTAGCGTGATCTTCTGAAATACTTCAAAATATAGGTCATGCTCATTTTTGACTGTTTAGCATCGTTAGTTTTATGTCAACAGATAGTGTCTAGAGGTAATTTTCTCGTGACACAGTCTAAATGGACTTGATTCCTTGTGCTTGGGTCCTGCTGCTTTGGTTCTTAAAATTTGACAACATTTAATTAGGATACGAGTTTATTTTCTCGGGGCAATCTAATGATGGGCAAAAACTTATCTGCATCTAATGGTTACAAAAATATTATTAATTTACCACGATCAACATATGCAGACCAAATTAGCGAAACTTATTAAAAATAAAAGCAATATGCCAACTTGCATACAAGATATTTATACGAAGATTTGATACTACAGTCATATGACTGAAATCCTTGCTTCCATGCTATTCAATGTCTACTGAATTTCTTGCTATTGCGATTCTTGGAAGGTTAAGCCTCGTTTATGCATAGAGAACGATTGTGAAAAAACAACTGTTGCAAAAATCAAGATTCTATTAGTAAGATGGCAATGCTTCTTAGTCTTGAGTAGGCGAAAACCATTATGTGTTTGAGGTTCCGGACCTAACACCTGGCACTTGGCACGTTGTCGTAATTAAGAGGATCGAATGAAAGTATTTTCATTATCAACATAGAAAATCTACCATTATTTTCCAATAGTACCTTGTTGAAGCTAAGAATGAATATTTTACATTAACTTTTGCCTTTTCAATGTTTTAATCTCAAAATTTCTCTTCAAGAACGTTATACACTCCATTCCCGCATCCCGCCCTCACCATACACCTTCCTAGCCAGAAAGAGAAGAAGTGCTAAAAAAGATAGTAAAAGGTAATAAAATGGGATAATGTAGAGAAGGAGAGAAAACAAACATACAATTTAATAAGCTAACGAAACTCCTGTTGTCAACACTGAGCTATTTAATTAGGATACAGCACTGACTGGCTAATTAAATTGAGCTTAAACACTTATATTTTACTGCAATAAGTTAGGTGATGTTGGGCATATTTCTATATGTTATAATGTTACTTTACTCATGTTTTAATTACTTTTTGGTGCTATTTGGTATTAAAAATGCCCAACATGTGTTAATTATTGGTTTTATGACTAATTGAGTTGTGTGTGATGATTTAGGGTGTTTGGAGTGTAAAAATATGAAGAAAAGATGCTCGAGCTATAGGAGAAGAGGTTGGATTTGGTGCACCCTTAGCAGTGAAGTCGAGATAAGGCATTAGCCTTAACATCCGCACCTGGGCACAACAGAGATGAAGGAACAGAGGGTGGATGCTTCACATCCACCCCAGCATGCGATGCTGAGAAGTTGAAGCTGAGGCGGACGCGAAGCATCCATCCCAACATCAATCCCTGAAGCTGAGGCGGAATAGAAAAAAGGTAAACTTTGGCCCATGACTTTTGTACGCAATATATAAGCCAAAACGCCTCTTTTAGGTGATCTAACACACTTGGAAGCGGAGAAAAGCCATCACAGAGTCCGAAAACCACGGAATTCGTCTTGAGTTCTTACTTTTTCCTTCTTTTATTGATTTGTATGTATTCTTGGGAATTATTTGAGATTGCTACCATAACTATGCGTGGCTAAACTCATTTATTCTGGGATTATGGTTTTACATGAATGTTGATATTCGAATATTGATTTGACGAGTTAATTTATAATATTGAGTTGCTTATTCATATCCCGAGTTTAATTATTTTACTGCCTAGCTAATAGTGAAATACTATATATGAATCTTGAGTTGAACTTGAAAGAGGTAATTCTTGATTGCAATAGGATTTAATAGAACGCAATCTTGAACCTAGACATTGGGGAATTGATTTGCAAATACGGATAGAAATATACCAATTTTCCGTGCTTAGCCACTTGTGTAAGAAATTGTTAATGCGTTCTTTTTATCTCTAATCTCATAGAAATATAGGGTTTAGAATAAATTGAATAGACGAGTAGAAGTTGTCATATTTATACGAGTATTATTGTCCTTGCAGGTTAATAACCCAGATAGAATAATAAGTCGAGTCGATTGAAGAATTCAACAGGATTGTTAACCAGCCATAATCCTGGAATATTATTTCTCATTGAATTAAAATCCTTCGTGCTAAGTGTGCTAGTTCATTAGTTTTTCTTTTACTTGCAATTATAATTAGTAGAATTAATCAAACAAAAAGTACCTTAAAATTGTTCTTGACTCGATAAATTAGAATTCGCTTAATTTAGTTGATAATTAATCACAAGTCCTCGTGGGGACGATACACTACTTACTCTTTATTACTTTATTGACCGCGTATACTTGCGTGTGTGATTTTGGAAAATAAATTTTTGGCGCCGTTGCCGGGGATTTCGAGTTTAGTTTTCTTTTAATCTTCTTTTTGGCTGGGTGTTTGATCTCAGGTACTTTGCTTGAATGTGATGGGTTAGAAGTCAGGATAGACTACAGGATTTTGACCCAGAACTTGAGAGAGCATTTCATAGAAGGTTGAGAGAAGCTTGAGAAGCAAGTAATTTACAAGCACTCATCCGACTTCTTGTGAAAATGGCGGAAGAGCATCCATTGGCGGTACAAGAGGTGACTATGCCCAGCATTGCTAATGTCACCTCAAGTGTCGTTATGCCTAGGATCACTGGGCATTTTGAGCTTAAGCAGAGCATGATCCAGCTATTTCATGTAAATGGACACTTCATGGGACTGCCATACGAAGACCCCCAACAACATATTCTGACTTTTTCTAGAGATTAGTGATACCTATATCACTAACAGGGTCATATCTGATTATGCCAGGCTCACATTGTTCCCTTTTTCTCTGTTGGGAGAGGCCAAGAGATGGCTAAAGTCTGAGCCAGCTAACTCTATTGCATCGTGGAATGATTTGGCTCGCAAGTTCCTGGCTAGGTTTTTTCCTTCTGGTAAAACCGCAAAGATAAGAAGTGAGATAGTTGCGTTCAAACAGAGAGAAAGTGAGTCACTTTATGCAGCCTGGGAGCGATTCAAGGGATTACTAAGAGACTGTCTATACCATAACCAAACCAATAAGGTACTGACTCACACTTTTATTGAAGGTCCTCACCCTGAAATAAAAATAGTGGTAGATGCAGCAGTTGGTGGTCAAGTATTGGAAAAGAGCTTTGATGAGATCTACACGCTGTTGAACAAGTTTTCCAAAAGCAATCCAGATTGGCAAGGGGAAGCAGGTAGATACACAACCCATAAATGCTGCCGGGGGTACTTGAATTAGATGTTGTATCAACACTATCTACACAGGTAGCATCTTTAGCAAATCAAATTAGCAAGATGAATGTGACCTAAAACCAACAACAGTTCACACCAATGCAACAGTCAACCAGTACAGTAGGTGCATGTGTTTTGAGAAGTTTGCGGCGAGGGCCATACCGGTGATGCCTGTCCATCGAATCCAGAGTTAGTTTACTTTGTGGGGAGTGCGAATAGAGGCCAAGCTAATCAGAATCTGTATGGTAATACTTATAATCCAAATTGGAGGTTCATTCCGCAAATCCGATGGGTAATATTGTGGAGATGCTCAAGAAGATTATGGCTGATAATCAGAATCAAGCTACTGCTATTCGAAATTTAGAGCTACCAATGGGGCAACTAGCCAGTGCCCAGAACACCAAACCAGCGGGAGCATTACCTAGCGACACTGAGGCTAATCCTAATGTCCCTATTAATGTTGTGTCATTGAAGAATGTGAGAGAATTAGAAGAAGTCCCATCAAAGAAGAGAAAGCAAGTGATGTTTAGTGAAAAACAGCCCACCATAGAAGTCGAATCGGAAACTGCAAAGGAGTTAGAGAAGCCAATTGAAGAAGCCATGGCAAAACAACCACAACCAATAGTTGCGAAGCCATCACCTCCCTCAAAGATTGCAGAAAGTGAAAGATAATACAACGTACAAGAAATTCCTTGATATTTTGAAATAGGTGCATATTAACATACCATTGGTGGACGTTTTGCAAGAAGTGCCAAGGTATGCACAGTACATCAAAGAAAATTGTGGCAAACAAACGCAAACTAACTGGGTTCGAGACTGTAGCACTCACTGAGTAGTTCCAGAATTTAGAATAAGTTGCCTCCTAAATTGAAAGACCCAGGAAGATTTACAATTCAAATTTCAATTGGGAAATATGTGGTTGGGCGAGCATTGTGTGATCTTGGGGCGAGCATAAACCTGATGCCATGTTATGTGTTTCGACATCTAAGGTTGGGAGATCCTTGACCGACTACGGTGGTATTGCAATTGGCAGATATATCATTAGCTAGCCCCGAGGGTGTCATTGAAGATGTGATGGTCCAAGTGGGCACATTCATATTCCCAGCTGAATTTGTCATCCTGATTACGAGCCTGATCAGAAAGTCCCATTTATTTTGGGACGACCATTTCCAGCTATGGGGCACGTAATTTTTGATGTGTGTGAAGGACAAATGACCATGAGAGTAGGTGACAAAGTGGAGATCTTCAATGTATACAAAGCACTTAAATTGCTAGCACACTATGAAGATTTGGCCATGATCACAATTATGTGGATGGTGAATTGGTAGGCACAACATCATACTTGGTATCTGAAGATCCTTTGGGAAGAGCTTTAATTGACGAAGAAGAAGCGAAGGATGAGCTGGTAGAAGAAATTGTACAAGATTTGAACATGACATGCTAGTACGTCGACGTGTTGAAGATATTTGAGGAAATCAACATACCATTGACATTGACACCACCTAAAATATCGTTTGAGGAGGCTCCAAGGTTGGAGCTCAAGACTTTACCTTCTCATCTGCGATACACGTACTTAGGTGTGTCAGAATATTTACATATGATCATCTCATCTTCATTATCACATGTGCAAGAGGACAAGTTGCTGCGGGTTCTGAGGGAACACGAAGGGGCCATTGGTTGGACTACTGCCGATATCAAGGGAATTAGTCCATCATTTTGCATGCATAAAATATTCCTGGAGGATGGACATAGACCAAGTGTGGAGCAGCAGAGATGATTGAATCCTATTATAAAGGAGGTGGTAAAAAAGGAGATTATCAAATGGTTAGATGCGGGGATCATATTTCCTATTTCTGACAGCAATTGGGTGAGTTCTGTGCAGTGCGTGCCGAAAAAGAGAGGCATGAAAGTTTTGGAAAACGAGTAAAATGAGTTAATTCCTACCAGAACAGTGATAGACTGGAGGGTATGCATTGATTACAGGAAACTCAACAAGGCTACGTGCAAGGACCATTTCCCTCTCACTTTTATTGATCAAATGTTGGACAGGCTAGACGGGCATAAATATTATTATTTTCTTGATGGTTACTCCCGTTACAATCAGATAGTGATAGCACCAGAAGACCAGGAAAAGACTACATTTACTTGCCTTTATGTCACCTTTGCCTTTATAAGGATGCCATTCGTGTTATGCAATGCACCGACGACTTTTCAAAGGTGCATGATAGCCATCTTCACCGACATGGTGGAGATATTCGTTAAGGTGTTCATGGATGGTTTTTCAGTCTTCGGGTCATCCTATGATAATTGTCTGAAGAATTTGGATTTGGTGCTAGCACGCTGCGAGGAAACTAACCTGGTACTTAATTCAGAGAAGTGCCATTTTATGGTTCAAGAAGGTATTGTATTGGGACATCGAGTGTCCAAGAAAGGAATTGAAGTTGATAAGGCCAAGGTGGAGGCAGTGGAGAGACTACCACCACCCATCTCTGTTAAGGGCATCCATAACTTCTTGGGACATGTAGGTTTTTATAGACGTTTCATTAGAGATTTTACAAAAATTGCTAATCCCTTGTGCAGGTTGCTAGAAAAGGATGCCACATTCAAGTTTGATGATGCCTATCTTAAGGCATTCGAGGAGCCGAAGTTGAAGTTGGTGTCTGCACCAATCAATATCACACCTGACTAGAGTATGCCCTTTGAGTTGATGTGTGATGCGAGTGACGTAGAAATTGGGCCTGTTCTTGGATAGAGAAAGAACTAAGCTTTTCATTCAATCTACTATGCTAGCAAGACCCTAACTGATGCACAACTCAATTACACCACGATAGAAAAAAAACTGTTGGCAGTTGTCTATGCTTTTGATAAGTTTCGGTCTTACTTAGTAGGAACGCATGTGATCGTGTACACGGATCATGTGGCGATCAGGTATTTAATTTAAAAAAAAAATGCTAAGTCGAGACTGATTAGATGGGTACTTCTTTTGCAGGAATTTGACTTGGAAATTCGTGATCGGAAGGGCACAAAGAATCAGGTGGCTGACCACTTATCAAGGCTAGAAAATCATGAGCATGTGGAAAAAGGAGGGGGAGAGGGGGGGGGGGGGGGGGGGGGGTGATAAAGGAGACATTCCCAGATGATCAACTCTTTGCAATCACACATGATCCGCCACCATGGTACGCAGATTATGTAAATTTCTTAGTGAGCTGAGTACTTCCTCCAGAAATGCCACCTGAAGGGAGGAAGCGATTCCTACATGACATAAACTACTATTTTTGGGATGAGCCGTTCTTGTATCGGCAATGTGCTGACCAATTGATGAGGAGATGCATTTCGGAGAAGGAGGTGGAGCAGGTTTTGTACGATTGTCATTCCTCACCTTATGGGGGACATC